TTGAAAGAAGATCAAAGACAGAACACAGCTGTTATGACAAGAGCAACTTCATTTACATTAAAAGGACAGTAACAGGATAAAAGGTTAAAGATTTGAATGTTCGGGGTTCATTCTGACGCCGGTGAACCCAAGGTGCTTCGTGTGCCTTGCCACTGCTATGCTGTAAATAAACTTCATTTTTGAGATCTTCGACATCCACTTCATTTTTTTTTTTACAATACTTAAAGGTGCAATGTGTAACAAAGTTGAGTATCTATTAACAGAAATGCAATATGACATCCATAACTATGTTTTCAGTGGTGTATAAAGAACTTACTTAATTAGCCGTAATGTTTTTATTACCTTAGAATGAGACATTAATAGTTCCATAACCGCGGGAATCCCCTTCTATGAAGGTCGCTATGTTGTGACGTCATATTCCTACCGTAGCCGAACGCGAACAAACAGCGCTACAGAACGCGTTTCATCACTACCTTGAAAGAGAAGTAGCGGAAAGCTGGAAGCTAGCCTTACACTCCGTGAGTAGTGACTTTTCCCTTGTGAGTGGTGTAAAATATGTAGTTGGGATTGTTTCATGTAACTTAGTTCTCCCTCGCTGTGTTATGGGTTTGTTATGTTGGGGATAGATGTGCTGTTACGTTCGTGAGACAGCTGATGATTAGTATTCATGTCATTGACCGTAAAACAGTACGTTACAGGAATCACTAACCCGTCGATAGAGACTTTTACTAAAGTCTTTTATCACTAAAGTCGATCGCGAAGAATTTTAAAAAACAGAGAAAAAAAGCCTATTGTGTGTAGTAAATAGTATCTATGGGATGCGGAGATGACATGATTGTAACAGCGCGTGCACTTCCGACCTTTGGACTCATGCAGACGCGTCCCAGCTCAGCCACAGTAACAGCTCATGTTAGCCAGCTAAACTATTACTACCCTGTTAGAAAAAATATATAGCTGCTCCCTCGCTGTATTATGGGTTTGCTACAGTATGTGGGGAGAAATGTGCTGCTGGTTACGTTTGTGAGACAATCAGCTGATTATTATTTTATTAAATTATATATTAAAACCCTTGATCCTCACCTGACTATGGCTTTGTAAACAGACAGTATTCATGATGTGGTTTATAATGGACTGTGGTACAGAAACAGTGACAATGTTACACACTCTTGGCTTACTCTGGCTATTCTCTGCTGTCTCAGCCGACGAGATGTTTGTCCCGTTTTAGCAACCGTAGCTTCTTCGAAAGGGAGGGGTGAGCAGTGGGCGGAGCCCTTAGTGCAAACCTGGTGCAAACTCGCAACCGAACCACTAGATGTCGCTAAAAGTCACACATTGCTCCTTTAAAAAGAAAGTTCACCCTAAATGAAAATGCTTTAACTGATATTCACCCTCATGTCAATCCACGTAACACTCCAAAACATGTAAGACTTACATTCATCTTCAGAACACAAATTAAGACATTTTTGATGAAATCTAAGAGATTTCGGTCCCTTCATTAGGCGCTTTTCCACTGCATAGTACGGTACGGTTCGGTTCGGTACGGCTCACTTGTGGTGCTTTTCCACTGCATGGTACGGTACAGTACGGTTCGCTTCAGGTCGCTTTAAATGGTACCTGGTCTGTTGAGGTTCCAAGCGTACCGTACGGGTACTAAAATGTGACGTGAAACACTGCAGATCACTGATTGGTCAGACAGAATCGTCACTACTAGCGTCATAGGATTTGCGACACGAGACACTTTTTTAGCAGTATTTTTGTTTTGCTGCCATCAGCCTCATTTTAAACACATTTTTCCGTCAAGCAGTTAAAAACAACCACATACCGAGAATCAGGAACATCATCCCCTCGATAGTCTCCATTGTTCCTGTGTTGTGGGTTTGAAAATGTGGCGCTTTTAAGATGATGTCATGGCAGTAGAGGCGCGCGCAAATAACGATCAGTCCCACACACTTTGAAGGGGGTACTACTGCAGTGGAAACGCAAAGCGATCCGAACTGTTCCGCGCCGAGTCGAAGCGTACTGAGCCGAACCGTACCGTACTATGCAGTGGAAAAGCGCCTATTGACAGCTACTCAACCACTTTGATGCTTCAAAAAGTTAATAAAGATCATAAAACTAATCCACATGAATTGAGCATTTAGTCCAAATTTTCTGAAAAGTTGCTTTATAACATGATGAACAGATTTAATTTAGGTGTTTATAATGACAATGTACATGAGTTACTAAATTCCTTGGTATAATGTACAATCAACATGCTTTTTTTAAAGAAAAAATAAAAAAAATATCTGTGATGCATTTGTTGATCTTTTTTTAATATATATTTTAGAGTATATAATATAATATAGAGTTATATAATATATATTTTTATATTACTAGCTATGTTGAAGTGTTGCATACCAGTCATGGCACCTAGATGACACTTTAGGGCCCTGGTTAAAGGGAAAGTTCACCCAAAAATGAAAATTCTTTAATTGATACTCAAGCAAATTCTGAAAAGGCATTTGTAAGCTATAATTCATGCTGTGTACTGTATCTTAACTTGAGAAGCCAGAACCCCTTTTATATTTAATAGAAAATATAATGAACCATTTATATTACGTAAAATGTATAAGGATTTTGGTACATTTACAATGCAAAATGGAAATGCATCATTACAAACCATAGAAATGTATCATTACAGTCTGTAAATATCTCTTAACAACACAATGCAATCACTAGAAACTTCCTGTTAATAAAGTATCTGGTAAGAATCTATTCTATATTAACAATGCATTAAATCACATTACACATTAATAAACCATAAATAAAACAAATTAAGTGATGTCTTGTCTCAAGCATACATCTCAAGTCAAGTGAATTAAGGGTCATTGGACAGGCGTCCAATCACAAATGACTTTCGGAAAAGGGGAAATAACCAATGACATTTCAGGTTATTAAAACAGTAATCCAGCCCCTTGACTGCCAAAAATAAAAGTGTTAGAGTGAGCAGAAGCAGCAGGCGATACTGAAGTATCAGTTGTGCTCTCTTGTTATTTTAGCCATTGATTTGCCGCCATACGGATCACAAGTAGACGAGGGAGAAACATACTCATTTACATCTGGTGTTTTAATCATTCTTTTTCTTCCACTTTTTCTTTCAGGGGAGGGTCTATGGGTACTAGCTAAAAGTATGTTGTTGCTTTTTCCAGATCTTTCGATCTAATGGACAAAGTAACCTCGCACAATTTACATATGAATGCGCCCGGATATGAAGGAAAAACATACAGAGAGCAGCAGCTTTTGTTTCTGCTCTGATAGAAGCAAGACCACACCGAACAAGACAAGTGCATGTTGGAAACCAGGAATGGTGAGTAGGGCTGGGTATCGATTCACATTTCAATTTCGATTCGATTTCGATTCGCAAGCTCTCAGTTCGATTCGATTTCGATTCTCGATTCGATTTTCGATTCTCGATTCCTGATTTGATTCTCGATTCAACTATAATGAAGATGTAATAAAAATCCTATATTTATAATTTATAAAAAAGAACAGTGGACATAAGTTTACTAGTGGTTAATTAATACAAGAAAATTAAGAGCCATAAACCTATATATAAAACACTTTTTATTTTAGGTACACTAAATGCATACAAAGACTAGACAGGATTTTGATGCAATATGCAAAAAAAAAAGTCGCACAGTCGCACAGAACAGTCGCACAGCTTGATCAAACAGTATCATGTTATTTTATGTTTAAGATAGATAAATATATACATATTTAGACATTTTTTACATTGATCTTACCTAAATGTTAATGTATTTTTTTTGTTAAGAGTTTATGTATGGATGCTTGATTTCAATCTTTGAATTAAATTGAAAAAAGTAGCACAAATAAATACAATAGAATAAAGACAAAAATTAAGAGACATTTTGGGGTAGTTTTTTGGGTATGTCAGATATACTACAGAAACTGAATAAAGTAATCCAATGTAAAATAACACTGGATAGTCTTTTTAGTCCAGACTGAATTAAATACAAAGGCTATTAATTCTGATTGCTTACAATTAATACTATATTCTGTTGTTATGACAACAGAATTAATGACTGACACAAATGGCTGCGTTCACTTTAAGAACTAGTGCGCGAATCCATTACTGTTTCATTAACTTTCTGTCACACGCGTTTAATGCTAATTTAAGACATTACCGACTGTCTTTACGAGGTTACTCACCAAGACCAGAGTTTTGACATAATGTTGCGTGTTTTAACTGTTAAAGCGATATAATCCAGGGATAAAACTTTTGTTTCTGGCGAGCTGTTTGTGAGGCGGATTTAGGCTGTGCACGCAGTGAAAGAAATCTCTGAGAGTGCGCGAGCACGGGATGGTTTAACATTGCTTGAGCAAATAAATGATAAATGTTAGTTACGATCATAGGTCACGATGCAATGCTGGCCCGATTGTGCAAGTGAATATTCCGTCGTGTCCCGACTCCTAAACGCGTGTGTGTATCGACAGCTGCAGCGCTTGGCGCTTGCCTAGTGCAGAGAGACGAGAAGATGCAGCACCGCGTCCGCAAGCCCTTTATATGGAAAAAAATCGATTCGTGGCCGTTGAGAATCGATTTTGAATCGACCACATTTTAAAAAACGATTAATCGAAAAATCGATTTTTTTGCCCAGCCCTAATGGTGAGAGAATATTGTGCTTGGTACATCCTAGCTCACTTACCATAATGTGTCCGCATCAGGTCAGTAGGCGGAGAGCAGATGAATGGAACACATTCAACCACATGAAAGCACCACACGAAAGCAATCCGGTCTAATGAGTTTTCGACTACCTCTGGAAGTGGTCAAAAGTGGACAAGCTCAAACCGTTTGAGACTCAGTTTACACCTGTATTTAGCGTTGTTCACTTGTGATCTAATCGACCAGGGCCTCAATTAGTTGCCCGAGAGGAGTTTCAAAGTGGCCGCAGAGTAAAATGAATGACTTGCCTGAAAGGAACTGCAGTCAGCAATCTTACCTTAACAGTACAGTCTTTAGAGCAGGAAGAGAAGCGATGTCCACGGTGAGAGAAGGCCAAATGCAGGACCTGATCATGATGTTCCTTCAAAGTCTGAACCTCCACACAGGGGATGCAGTCATACAGCCGCTTGAACTCCCTATACCACGACGTAGAAGCTGCACACAGGAATTGCATTGTTACTTTCAAAAGGTGCTGCCACAGTCATGACAAAAAAAAGTGCCAAACTTTAGGCACTGTCACATGTATTTTACTACTAAGTGGATTATTAAAAGCCATATGTACACATTCCACTTCAGTTGTTCTTCACAGATGTGAAAGGTGTGTGCTAGTATATTTTACACATGAACTCATTAATGAATGAATGAATGAGACATTTATATATAGGGTTGGGTATCGTTTGAATTTGAACGATTCTGATTCCGATTGCGATTCCTTGTTTCGATTCCGGTTCCTAACGATTCTCGATTCTGATTCTTTTAAGAGGCAAAAAAGTTTAGCTAACCTTGCTAACCAACGGCCTTTCTGAAGGAAATAATCCTTTCTGAAGGAAATACTCCTTCTGTAAAAATACCTCCTTTTGTCACAAATTTTGCATTTTGCCGAGATTTCGTTATTTTTAGAAAAGTGAAGCCACACTTTGGATCGCCGACGTAAGGTACTCATGTTCGACTCGCGTGGTTATGCCAACACTTCCGGTAGACGCTTCTTCATTGGTGTTGTTCAGCGGTTTCTTCTTCCGCTCGGCGGACTGTGAATATCAAAACTAGGAATTGAAATTGTAACTTTTGAACAATTCCGGGAAAAACGAAAAGTTAGTCTCGGTTCCAATCGATACTCGATTCTCGATACCCAACCCTATTTACGTATATAGCGATTTCATATGTACTACTGTTCTCCCAAAGCGCTTTACAATCATATCAAGGGATCTCTCCTCAACCACCCCCAGTGTGCAGCATCCACATGGAATAATGGGACGGCAGCCACAGTACAGCGGCACCAGTGCGCTCACCACACACCAGCTATAGGTGGAGAGGAGAGAGAGTGATAGAGCCAATTCAAGGATGGGGATTATTAGGAGGCCATGGTTTGAAAGGGCCAATGGATGGAATTTGCTCAGGTCACTGGGGTTACACCCCTACTCAGTGGGATTTTTAATGACCACAGAGAATGAGAACCTCAGTTTAACGTCTCATCCAAAGGATGAGTAAATTCATTAACTGTGGTGCAGCTACAGTACCTGGGTGGCGAGGCACAGAGCGAGGGATGCGGTAGTAGCTATAGAAGAGCTCCCTCCAGAGGAACTCATCCCGCGACACGGCAAACCACTGATGGCAGGTAAACCCAGCGCTCAGCACCGCCTCATGAGGGAGATGCAAGAAAATTTCCAGCACCAGGCTGTCCGGCAAGCCAGGGCCACTTGCCATCCTGACATCCTAAGAGAACATAACATTAATGATGCCATATCAATCCAAACACGTAAGAAGCAACTCAGAAGCCTCAAACCTAAAATGTTCTGCAAGGACACTATCCATGCCTAGTACTCCTTTAAAAAACAAAACTGAGATTTGAACCCTTCCCTTAATAAATGTACCCTAAAAGTAAAATTTTGAACAATCTTTATTACATTTGGGCTTGAGTTCTGAGCAAGTAAGAAAAAAAAGAGAAAAGTTTTAATATTTGAACTATACGTGCTCTAGAGATTAACAAGCAGAGAATGAGATATTAAAGGGTTAGTTCACCCAAAAATGAAAATTCTGTCAGTATTTACTCGCACTCATGTTGTTCCAACTCCGTAAGACCTTCGTTCATCTTCCCAACACAAATTAAGATATTTAAGATATTAAGATCGCTCCTGCATACTAGTCCATAGGCTTCTTGAGGGACTGCCTCTTGCTGTCCCCGAAAAGTCATTAAAGACATCGTTAAAATAGTCCAAGTGACTACAGGGGCTCAATCTTAAGTTTATCAAATGACGAGAACACTTTTGTGCGCAAAAAAACAACAAAAATAACGACTTTATTTCAACTATTCACTTCCTTCTCCATGAGCCTGTAAGTCAGTTAACGTAGTGTGATTGTGTAGAGCTACGTCACACGTAGGCTCACTATTGGCCGACGCTGGTCATGTGTGTGTGATGCGTGTGACGTACAATAACAGAAGCTTACGCTATTAAACTAGTAACCTGACTCGCGCAGAGGGAGAAATAAACGAATAGTTGAAATAAAGTCGTTATTTTTGTTGTTTTTTTGCGCACAAAAGTGTTCTCGTCGTTTGATAAACTTAAGATTGAGCCCCTGTAGTCACTTGGACTATTTTAACGATGTCTTTAATGACTTTTCGAGGACAGCAAGAGCCAGTCCCTCAAGAAGCCTATGGACTAGTATGCAGGAGCGATCTTAATATCTTAAATATCTTAATTTGTGGTCCGAAGATGAACGAAGGTCTTACGGGGTTGGAACAACATGAGGGTGAGTAAATACTGACAGAATTTTCATTTTTGGGTGAACTAACCCTTTAATGTTTTCAGAAACACACGTAAACCCAAATGTATTATGACACAAAATGGTAAAACCAAGTAACATAAAAAATTAAAAATACCACCAACATCACACACACACACACACACACAAAAAGTAAAATAAAAATGGGCAAGCAACATCCACTGAACCACTTGAGATAGATTGGCCCTCTACTATTTATTAAAATAAATCCAGCAAATGGTGCCATTACTATATCAGTTGACTAGATAATAAATTACCATTTAGCTAGAAAATGTTAATACAATTAAACCAAAATCTATTCGGACACATTTCTCACATCACAGTTTATTCGCTAAAGTTTAGAAAATGGTAATAAAATATGACAAGAACTCAGTTGATATTTCACTGGTTTTGGCCATCCTTCTGTTAGAAAACTGTCTCAAAAATGAACTAGGTTGAATAGCTGTCAGCTGTTAAAATTAAGTACACAATTAGATAACACCAATTTAGGTCAACACAATACCAAGCAATGCTTAATTTTGTTCAGTCTATGATGTAAAAAAGTCACATTAGCAATTAAAGAAAAAAAAAAAACACTTAAGCAAAACATGGTCAAGTCAAAGTGTCTGAAGAATTTTTGGTACCAAAATTGTATACATTTTACTGGTAGTCCACTGTATGAAGAATTTTCGGGTATAAGTTTACTTTATTTTGCTATCATCATCCACTTACATAAATGAACTATAGTGTCCTGCACCCAATAGTAAAAAAATATCAGAAATGATATCTGATGTCTGAATAATGTTTTGGTTTGACAGTATAAAAGAAAACTAATAGTGATATTGCATAACAGATGATATCCATCTCTAGCAATTTTAAGCTTATCTTTCAAAAAATTGCTTTTGATACCCTACAAATGACCTCTAATTTTTCTATTCTAATTTAAGACCTGACAGCTGTGAAATATTTGTAACAGAGCCTCGCCATCTCCACCCCATATGTTTATTTTTAGAGGTAAAGTGTTAAAGGAAACCATATAAATATTTTTTCTACATATATACATATATATATATTTGGATAAGCCACCACTTTGGAATATGTAGTTTGTTGTTGTTTGCTGATTTTTGAACACCTTTTTTGATAATAAATTGATCTAAATTTTAGCACATAAAGAAAACGTTATTTACACAAAGAGAAGTTTCTTAAATTATTAACTACAATGTTTAAGAAAGCTAATCTGTATCTTGGTTTTTTATCATTGTTTTTGTTAGGATTGATAACTGATACAATAGCATAAATCTATACTGATGTTTTATGGGGGGAAAACAGCATTAAACACTAAAGTTCAAATCTATAATTTAGTCAATTTAGACAAAAACAAGATAAAAAAACAGGAAAGCTTGATCATGAATTAAAAATAAGATAAAAATCAATAACTACGTTATTTTTGTAGGCATGCGGTGATGGTTTACCAACCAATATAATGAATTTTTATTTATGACCAACCCAGAAGAACTTCCAGATCAGGTCAGATTTAAGTTAAAATTATTAGGTAACTTATATGTACTTTTCAAGCAGTGCAACCGCATACAAAATTTGGTAACAAGTTTTTATGTTTTAATGTCATAGCAGAAATTGAAGATTAATAATGTCCTGTCTTTTCTAAACTTAAACTCAAAATAATATTAAGCTCCAGACCAGTGTTTTATTTTCTTTAAACAAGCGTAAAAAGGTATCAAAACATTATCATATTTTGATCATTTTCATTTTCAACCTGGCACAGAACAAGAATATAACGTTACTGCTTGAATGCACATAATAATTATATAATACCATATACCAATATACATATTGCTGTAGTTGTTATTTTTCGTTAGCAGCTAAAGCAGCTAACAAGCTAATCTCATTACCAAAGCTCAAAACAAACAAAAATCCACCGGATAAGCTTTGTGAAATTACATTTCACATAAATATTTACTTTAATTTTAAATTACCTGCCAAACGTCACAACCTGTGGAATAAATAGCTGGTTTACAGGATAGGAAAATATATCATCTTCATTTTGTTTCAGCTCCGGTTAAACGACTAGCACAGTCTACAATAATCGAACTCCGATGCAAATTCGTGCTGGTCAAAAAAGTCGATCGCAGAGAATGTTTACGTCGTTTTTGTCATAGATATCGGTTTTTGTTGTAGGATGTCTCAGGTTGAGCTCGTTGGATGAGAGAGAGATTAGACAAAGACAGCTATGATTCTTTGATTGATTATGAGTGGTAAGTTTAACCCTAAAATTCGCTCTTTAATAATGTAATTATTTATCTAACGTTATTTAATTATGTGAAACAGAAACTTGCTCTTTTTTATTAAATTGTTTTTTTTTCTTTTTCTTTTTTTTTTATTAAATTGTGCACGCAGTTATTATAAGTGTGTGTGTTACCAAATAAATTGTTTTTTGATGTAAAAATGTAAGTTAATGCCTCAAATTAAAGTTAATGGCGGACTCTGGTCATATCACTTTACATGAATAAGAAAGTCAAAGGTGGAAAAACCCCGAAGAGAATGTGTATTTCTATTGTAATTTCTAATTTATTTATCATAACCCCATTATACTTATTGTATACTGTCCTTTATACTATATAATAATGTCCATTAAGAGTTCTTCCAAATTATGATAACATTATTTCTGTACGTATTAATTAGCAGTTCAGTAGTTCGTTTATTTTGTCACGAGAAGTCAGGTTTGTTTAAGTAATGAGGTTTGTATAAGTAATGTACATGGGTCAATGACGTGACGCCTACATTTTCTGTCCGACTGCATTTTTTCAGGCAAAAATGGGTTTAAATGCCTAAAAAGATACTGCATATTTGTAGTACCTCTCTCATGTATGTACTCACTTTAACTTTTCAAAAACCTTACTTATTTGTTATTATTTTGTTATTTAAAGTGTCAAAACATCATGTGGTGCGACCGTCCGGCCATAACTTCTGTTTTGAAAACATCTTTGAAATTACTCTGAATTAATTCAAATTTATATACTGCACTATTTGGCATGATTTCCAAAATGTTTTGTAATCCTTTAAAAAAATTCTAAGCATTTCCATTTATATTCCCATCATAATATACAAACAAACTTTGTCCGATGATGTCTATTTTATGAAATATCATGTGGTGCGACCATCAAAGAACTACCATTTTGGGACTTATATGTTGAAAACTATTCAAACACAGGAAGTTACATCATAAACCAATTTACCAAGGACCCATGGAAGCAGCAGGCAGGTTTGTGATTCTCTCAAATTGGAAAAAAAATAAACCTTTGTAATGGTTGGTATGTAGTTGCCAAATTTGGATGTCATGTGGTATGACCTCAAAAAAATTTAATATTAAAGTTATTTCTACAAATATATATTTTTATTATAAATTTCATAGTGACCTTTTTTGGCAAGCTAGCTTATTTTGTTTTGGTGGCCATTTCTGTGCCTGTAAATTATGAATGAATTTGAAAATGTCATGTGGTGCGACCAAATATCATGTGGTGCGACCACTGCAGACTGTTTTCAATTATAGATATATGTCCTAAATTGGCAGTTTTATGCTTTTATATTCAATCGGCGGTTTATTTTAAAAAAGTACTTTACTTTACTATCATTTGGAAAAGATTTTTATGCAATTTGGGATTTTTTTTTATGTATTTCAGACAGTTTATGTTCACTCTTTGTACAATATGAGAAAAATGCAAAAAAAAAAAAATAGAGCATGTAATTTCAGTTTAGTAATACTGCATTTATTTGTAGTGTATTTATTATTGCCTATTTATTTATTTAAAACTATTTTAATCTATTTTACCAGATGCCACTGCCTTCCAAGCAAAAAAATTCTTACCCAGCAGCAAGAGCGGAGTAGAGAAGAAGAGTGAAATATTATTACAGTTTAAAATATCTGGTTTCTATGTGAATATATAGTAAACTTTAATTTATTCCTGTGATCAAAGCTGAATTTTCAGCATCATTACTCCAGTCTTCAGTGTCACATGATCCTTCAGAAATCATTCTAACATGCAACCCTAGACCACAAAACCAATCAATGGGTCAATGTCATATGGGTCACATCCATCACACAATTATTTTAAATTGAGATTTATACATCATATGAAAGCTGAATAAATAAGCTTTCTATTGATGTATGATTTGTTTAGATAGAACAATATTTGGCCGATACAACTGAAAATCTAGAATCTGAGGGTGCTACAAAATCGAAACACTGAGAAAATCGCCTTTAAGGTTGTCCATTTATGTTTGCAATATTGCTATATTCACTCACAAAAATAAATGTTTATACATTTCTGTTAGGACATTTACAAAATATAAAACATCTTTATTTAATATATATATATATATAACATTATTATTTGTTAGAAAGAAAGTCAAGTTAAATTAAATGGTGCACTTGTGTTTGTGATGTGATTTTTATAAAAAAAAAAGTTTAATAAATGTTAATGTTTAAGAAAATTCTTTGAAATTTGTATAAAATATGGTTTAAATAATTTTTTGTATAAAATGTATTGTTCATTGATCTCTTTAAATAGATTTTTAACTATATAAGGTCTTCGTGTCATTTGGAGCGACCACTTGTCATGTGGTGCGACCAATAAAAGCAATCACTGTATTAAATTAAAAAAATATATTTTATTTCTGTGGCTGAAATATGAATCACAGATATAGTATGCTTCAGGAAATTAGATTGTTAAAACATTTCTATCAGTTTTGTGTGATTTATAGGAAAAATAAGTCTGTTAACTAGATTTAAGAAGGCAACTCAGAAATTATAGAACAAAAAATGAGATCGTTATTTACAAAAACTCAAAAGAATTGCAAATACTTGGTTTCTAAACACTTTACTTACTAAGAACTTGTAAAATAATGTTTAAGCATGTTAAGGAAATTAATACATTTTAAGATAAATCACGGTCGCACCACATGACATTTTTTAAGGCTATGGACAATTCATCTAGATGAAAAAACACTAAAATCACTTAAATTCAATTTTTAAAATGAATTTAGGTGTACACAACATCCTTAATGTTTGAACAATTGCAACAGATATTATTATTTTTAGTATTTTAAAATTGGCCAGTGGAAAATCCTTATACGTCATTGACCCACTACTAAACCATGTTGTTCCAAGGTAGGTGTAGTAGTGCTAGTCTAATCAGAATAGTGAAATGTTATTTTTGCTTTTAAGGGTTGTCTTACCTTGCTGAGAGGTTAGCTTCATGCCTTGCATCTTCAAAAGGAGTCACAAACACAGGGTGACATGCTAACAGTAAGTAATATATGCAACAAACAAAAATAAATAAATAAATAAATAATAAGGATTCAAATTCTTATTTCTTCTTTTGCAGGACAGCAAGTTCGGTCAGTCTCAAGGGCACCTCTATCAAGTGACCCCTCCACATGCAGTGTGGTGCCTATATAAAGCAGCATTTTTAATAATCAGTTAGGAATGACAGGACTCATTATAAATCCATTAAGACATACAATATTTTTTCCTATATTGACATTAATGATGAACTGCCTGTAAACTCTGTTAAGGGGATGGGCATTTCTGATAACCTGTTCAGTGTGTAAATCATAATGCAAAACTGAGTGGTCAATATAAACAAAATACAATGTTCCCATAAGACCCTACAATAAACAAATTATGTTTATCATGACTCAAGCTTTATTATAATCTTTTTGATTATATACAGATAACATTTTGCTTATGAACTACATGAAACAAAGTAAAGCTTAAAATGGAGATGACAAACAGATTCCAAAAGTCCATTGTTATTGTGATTATCAGTACATTCATTTCAGAACTCAACAACAGTGATTACAAGCCCGATGTCTATTCTCGATTATATAGGTGCACATTAAAATGAAATGTATTTATGGATAAATGCCAATAAACCAATATGTATGCTACAAAAATGCTAAAGCATGTGTCGTGGAAAAGGTTTTCTCCTTTGTAAGAAATAACTCGAGTGACAAGTTCCAGATGCCAAAACATAAACTTTATTGGTGGAGACAACAAAGCCGCTCAGTCAAAACTCAAATTTGTATACAGTCTCTTACACCTTTCCCTTCAATTTTTTTCAACCAAGGGGTGTTCGTTAGGTCATCTTTAATTTTTGTTAATTCACCCCCTTCTTGTTCCCCCAATTATTGATCTCTTTTCTTTGCTCTATTTCTAATAGTAGTGAACCATTGCCTGGTAAAAACTCTATTTAATGCATGGTTTACAGTGTTATTTGCATCATTAGCCTTGACATACGGATATTCATATTAAAACACATAATTTGCCAAAGTGGCTGGGAGTTTTACTCAGAGCTGCTGAATTGAGACACAGTGCCTTCCATGACTTGAGTCTTATGACAGTTTTACACTGTAGTCAGTGAAACATATCTTAATGAAAACACTTTTCAAGTAATACACCAAACACCCAAATTTGAGAACTAGAAAAATCACAGTTTGCTTACATGCGTTTCTAACTAAATACATAAATCATATAAAAAAATCTTCTGAAAAGACTGATTTGTGTAAAAAGAGAAAAGAGAAAGAGAAAGTTTAAAAATAAAGAGTTTGCTTTGATCCAGGTTTATTCACACAGGAGAATCAACAGATTACTCCGTTAACCATGTGAGCAATTGAGGAGCGTAGTAGGTGATAATGATGTCAGCTCCTGAAAAAAAAAAAAGAGAATACAGTGAAAAATTAAGTAGACACCACCAAGGTCCTGCCCAAATCATTCATTTTATACAATTTTGGAGACGCCTGCCTCAACAGATTTAAATAATTTACTTTATCTACCGTGTCCCCCTTCTCACCTGCTCGACGGAAGGCAGTCATAGCCTCCATAACTGCAGTGCGCAGCTCAAAAGCTCCAGCTTCAGCTCCATGCCACAACATGGCAAATTCGCCTGATACATTGTACACTGCCAGTGGATGAGTAGGGTGCTGATGGGAGACAGAGAACAGGAAGGTAATAAGACTAAACACTGGACTCTAATATTGGATATAATTTACATTGTTTAATATTAGTGTGTAATATTGACAATTAGAGGTTAAAATATGTACAGCAGACCAAATTTAAAATATGGACCTCGATTATGCATTTCCACAATTATTAACATTGCAAACCTATTTTCATATTTAAATTTTTAATTGTTTTGTATTAACTAGGCAGTACATTTGGAGTAAAATTAATAATAATAATAATAAAGAATTATTAGCTGAGTGTTTCTAATGCAACGGCTGAACGTGACAGCTGCAATCAATCTCTATATTTTTTCCTCTTTTGGGAAGTTGTGGGAAAAGCTATCATGTTTTTTTTTAACTTTGCATGTTTACTAAATCTCTGCAACACTTTGCTTCTATGTGGCCACTGTCTGGAAGAGTTATTTTCCAACATGCCTCGTATTTTCAAACAAAATTAAACATCTTGCTTAGCTGGTCAGGTGGGTTTAATCTGAGTGGAACAAACTAGGAGAAGAGTTTACCATTTCCACAGTTCTGAAAAGTATACTTTATACTCTGTATACTTTGCAAAGTAAAACGTGCCAAATGTGTGGTATTTTGTTATAAAATGCAAAGACACTGAAGCATGTGCATAAAGGCTACTTTTAGACTGCAGGGAAAAGTAGCCCAAATCATCAGATCTGTTTTAGTTTAATAACAGTATAAACAGCTCAAATCTGAATTTGATCTTTTCTAATCTGTCATGGTCCTAAATATATGTGCTGTCAAACGATTAAAATGTTTATTTTACGATTAAAATGTTACAATTAATCGCATTAATGTCATAGTTAACTCGCCATTAATCGCACATTTTTATCTATTCTAAATGTCTCTTGATTTCTTTTTGTTACATTATTTTTTTCTCATTTTAATGCTCTTTACTACGGAAGCCCTGAACCGCAACCAAAAAAAAAAAAAAAAAAAAAAAAATCTGTAAAAAAATAAAAAATCTGTAAAAAAAAAAAAAAAAAAATCTAGCATTTCGAGATTAAAGTCGAAATGTTTCGAGATTAAAGTCGAAATGTTTCGAGATTAAAGTCGAAATGTTTCGAGATTAAAGTCGGAATGTTTCGAGATTAAAGTCGGAATGTTTCGAGATTAAAGTCGGAATGTTTCGAGATTAAAGTCGGAATGTTTCGAGATTAAAGTCGAAATGTTTCGAGATTAAAGTCGAAATGTTTCGAGATTAAAGTCGAAACATTGTGCATTCATAACAGTGCGCGTCCACTGGCTCAGAGCGCGCGCGTGTGTGAAGTCGAACTGCCATGGATAAACACAAAATAGTAGCTTTTTACTTTTATCTGGGCTTTCAACAAAATTCTACACACGTCACACGTGCTAGTGGCAGTGTTTCTGAGGTGTTTTCGTGCTCGTCTAGTCAACACTATCTGGGTCGAGAACACAACAGTAACTGTTCGGTCTCCCTCTTCAACGTAAATACGCTCTGGATACATTTTAAGTGCATCATTCTGTATCCAATCATTTGGCCGGATCCTGTGATTTCCTAAGATTTAATAACCACTTATAGTTGAGGAGAGATTCTAATTGTAAAGCACTTTGAGTGTAGGCATATATGAAAGCGCTATATAAATGCCCTATTCATTCATTCATTCATTCATTCATAAAGCTGGATTTCTCCATCCATTCTGAAAAGTGTTTTCCGTGTTGGTTTTCCTATAGGCTAAAGTCTATTCCGGCGCATTATATTTTATAACGATAAAGTAAGACAAGTAATTCAGATAAAAGTAAAAAGCTACTATTTTGTGTTTATCCATGGCAGTTCGACTTCACACGCACACGCGCGCGCTCTGAGCCAGTGGACGCGCACTGTTATGAATGCACAATGTTTCGACTTTAATCTCGAAACATTTCGACTTTAATCTCGAAACATTTCGACTTTAATCTCGAAACATTCCGACTTTAATCTCGAAACATTCCGACTTTAATCTCGAAACATTCCGACTTTAATCTCGAAACATTTCGACTTTAATCTCGAAACATTTCGACTTTAATCTCGAAACATTTCGACTTTAATCTCGAAACATTTCGACTTTAATCTCGAAACGCTAGATTTTTTTTTTTTTTTTTACAGATTTTTTTTTTTACAGATTTTTTTTTTTACTGACTTTTTTTTTTTTTTAGGTTGCGGTTATCAATATGGAAAAGTGGAAAAATTATTATTGAAAATAACATTGGAATGGTGTTCAATTTCACACTAACATATAGCCTATAAATAATCTCTCACACAATGTAACACTGTTGTAACACATTGTGCACAGACATTTTTTTTCAATTTTTTTTTCATATTTCCAAATTTACTCATAAATTATTTATTTTTTACTCAAAAAATGAGATGGCTACTCTCAGATAAATGAGGGCCACGATTAATCAGATGCAAACAGAAATATAAAACAAGTCCTAATTGAAAGAAAACAAGGTGACAAAAAGATTGAATCCAAGATTGCTATAATGAGTGATTTATAAGCTATTTTTTATAGGCCGGTCATTTTTGACCGGGAACACCACAAGTGTGACTATTTGCCATATTTTTTACAAAACAAAAGTTTCAAAACAAAACTCCTGGTGAAACATTAGAGTAGACTAGTGTGATGAACAGTAGCCATTTTTTTCAACAAAAAAAATTCGTATTTCCAAATTTACTCATAAATTATTTATATTTTTACTCAAAAAATGAGATGCCTACTCTCAAACAAACGAGGCCCACGATTAATCAGATGCAAACAGAAATATAAAACCAGTCCTAATTGAAAGAGAACTAGTTGACAAAAAGATTGAATCCAAGATTGGGTGAAAATATGGTATAATGAGTGATTTATGAGCGATAACATTAACTAGTATTTTCAGGAAATAAAATTGACCCGAACACCACATGAGGGTTAAAGGAATAGTTCACCCCAAAACGAAAATTATCCCATAATAAAGCCGTCCTAGGTGTATATGACTTTCTTCTTTCAGCCAAACGCAATCAGAGTTATATTAAAAAATATCCTGGCTCATCCCAGCTTTGTAATGTCACTGAATATTGCCAGTTTTTGAAGCTCCAAAAAGCACATCTAGCCAGTGATTACAGTTAATGAAGTTAATGTACAGTTAACTTGAGTCGTATGGATTACTTAAATCATGAATGGGTGCGCTTTTTGGAGCTTAAACTTGTGCACTATTCAGTGCCATAACAAAGCTGGGAAGAGCCAGGCTATTAATTAATATAACTCCGATTGTGTTTGTCTGAAAGAATTAAGTCATATACCAAGGATGGCTTGAGGGAGAGTATATTATGGGAGCATTTTCATTTTTGGGTGAACTATTCCTTTAAAGGTGCCATATGTAATAATTGAGGTAAAAATATCCAAAAAATGAGCTACACACATCAAAAGAATGAGAAGAAATAAGTGCAATGATGTAATTAAAAAACTGATAAGTTATAGTGCTGCCGAGATATAAACCTAAATTAGCATGCTAAATTACTAGCCCCGGCCCGGCAGGTGTCGTTTCGGCCATGGGAGGCGGTGTGCAGGCGGGCAACATTACCACCAGCCAAACTGCAATAGACGAGTAACTCGCGCGGCTTGTGTGTGTACTTGAACCTAATGTCAGTCGTGTGGAAATACAGCCCACTACTACATTTCAGTTCAGGGAAGAGTTCAAAAAATGATTGGTCGACATTATGCATGAGGAATACATTTTGGTAAGTTGTAGCATACTGTATCTCTCAACAGTGTTCGTGTTCTTTTTCCATTAGCTAGTAGAGATGATCGGTTCATGTGCGCTAGGGATCTGTGGTGTAACATGGACAAGCGCCAAAACGGTATTTATTGTTTGAATTGCGTAATAAAATTGACAGAATCTGAGAGCTTAACTAACCTGCTTGCTAAGTGTTAATTGCATGTGTCTCACGGTGAATTCATGAGAGTTGGCAGCTCTGAATGGCGCTAGCTTGATCAACATCAGCGAATGCGGTCTGTCAAATTAATTCAAACTAACAATAAAAGTGTAATATAAACAAAACAAATACCGTAAACTTAAAATAATAGCTCGCAGGCTTTTATTTTCATATATTGTCGAAATGCACCAGCTTGTTTTTGAGACAGGCGTCTATGAGATGGTCTTCATCATTTAGTGTCCATCATTTAGTGTCCAAATGCTCCACGTGAAACTGCGGTCTTCCGACCTTTTACTATCGTGTCAAATAATTTGAATAATATGTGCGAGAAAGAGAGAGCAAAACAGCGCTCGCTCGTGTTGTTTGAAGACGTGAGAGTGCGCGCGGCCGCGGCACAACACATTTTCTGGAGGTATACTGCCCCCATCTGTTATGGAATATTTTTTGATTTTTAGTTCCAGATGGCACCTTTAAGTCTTCAAATACATTTTGGGACTAAATTGCTACAATGTAAGCTGAGATGTAACACGAGGTGTCAGAAAACAAGGACTCACAATTCAGAAATATAATAACACTGACTCTACAGTTATTACCTTATTCTTGACCTCTCTCACAATATCAAGGTATGGTAATCCAGGTTTCACCATCAGCATGTCAGCACCTTCTTTCACATCCCGGTCCTACCAGCAAAAAAAGTAGTTTCCTTATACTTTTACTTCACTTGCTGCATCCCATACAATAGAAGAAAAAAAAAAAAAACACAGGTCTAGTCAATGTGACCATTTCTGTAATTAAAAATTGATTTAGGGTCTTGTTATATCAGTCCTGTTTTAGTAGTTCAGATTCCATGTTAAAAGTGCCCTTTCAATAAATTCCTGTCATAAAACATGTAAACACAGGAAAGAAAATTGTGCTCATCAGGTGATTACATGGGGTCTTTAAAAAAGTGAAGTTCTCTTACACAGGCCCGCAGTGCTAGTCCTCTGGCACCAGGGGGAAGCTGATAGCATCGTCTGTCTCCAAAAGCAGGTTTAGACTGGGCAGCATCCCTTCAAATGTTAAGGAAAATTGTATTTTGGTTTACAAAAAATAAACCCATCCTGTTGTTCTCAACTTATAAGAATATACTGTACTGTATACAAACTATGAAGGAAGTTGATAAAGGGAATATATAATACCTGAATGGTCCATAGTAGCAGGAGGCAAATTTAGCACTGTAGCTCAGCACTGACACCTAAGAAAGGGGAAAGAGCTAGAGTCAGAATCTGCAATATTCTATTTAACTATTTTGTGTGACCCAAAAGCAAGATTTGTCTACCTTGTTGCCAAGATCATTACTGATTAGTGCTTGCTTAATGGCTGCAATTCGTCCATCCATCATATCAGAAGGGGCGATGATGTGGCAGCCTAAAGAGAGAAAAAGTGTGACCTAATGTAATGATGATGACTTCTATAGACCTACATTGAACAAATTTATAAATGCAACACTTTTGTTTTTGCCCCCATTTTTCATGAGCTGAACTCAAAGATCTAAGACTTTTATGTACTTCTATGTACACAACAAGCCTATTTCTCTCAAATATTGTTCACAAATCTGTCTAAATTTGTGTAAGTGAGCACTTCTCCTTTGCCGAGATAATCCATCCACCTCACAGGTGTGGCATGTCAAGATGCTGATTAGACAGCATGATTATTGCACAGGTGTGCCTTAAGGCCATTGCACACTGAGTACGAAATATTCGTATGCGGATTTTCGTGTTCGTCAGCCTAAAAATTCGTCACGCATAGAAACCTTGCACACAGAGTCCGCTGCGTATTTATTAAACCTTTGCGGGAAAAAACGCAAAAATACCAAATGGATTCGTCAAGCAGTGAGGATGATTTTTGCCCTCTCTCTTATTGAAAAGAGAAGAAAGAGAAAATATTACGTCCATCCAATCCTGAAATTGCGCCGAGAGGAAGGAGAGTTCCACCTTATCAAGGAGTTGCGAATTTATCCTGAGCGATTCAAAATTTACCTCAGAATGTGAGTGGGACAGTTCGATGCTTTGCTAGCGATTCTGGAGCCACATATTAAAAACAAGACCACCAATTTCCGTGAACCAATCGATTCTGAACGGAGCCTGACAGTGTGTCTGGTATGGATGGCAACACATTAAACACACACCCGCGCGCGGCCCATGGAAGCGCTGGGCAGACAGAACAGCTATTGTGTATATT